ATTCTTTATGAAGGGTTTATGAATAATTCAAATCTTTTTTACATTTATCACATATAACATTATTGAATTCCTATTGCAATTCTTATTTTAGAAATTGATATTTGTTTTTATATTAAATATAAAAACTTTAAATTATCTGTTTATCTTTGTATCGCACCATTTTTAAGACGTCAATATTTTGTCACTACTTTTTTAAATATTACGATATTTTTGTGATAAGTGATATCTATATAAAGTATAAAATGAAGTCGCTTCCGCTGTCAGTTCGCCTAGATTTTTTAAACTACTGAATAGATTATAATGTAGTTTTCAGCAATAGATAGAGTCATTCATGAGGAAGGTTTATATGTTTAAATACATCAAATATTCACGTAAATCTAAGAAAGTATTAATACATGCATATTATAGTACACAAAAGCCGAGAAATTCAGTATTTGTATATTTTCATGCTAACCGTTAACCGTTACCGCTAGTAAAATATATTTTCAGAATTTTGCAACCTAAAAATAAATTCTATATTACTGTCTTAGACTAATATAGACAGAGTGTTATAGAACTAAACATAAAGCCCTTCGATCTAGTATTGTTGATCAAAGGTAAAGCCAAACAATAATGTTTTAAAATAGAACCTACACAAACAACAATTTGTATATGAAGTGATAAATATATAAATAAATTAATGTTAGTAAATAAAAATAGCTAACGGATTTTATTATAATAAAGAACAAAGAAATAAATTAAATAAGCTAATATTATGCCAACTCTCTTTCAAGGGGAAGAGAAATAATGCTTAAAAATACAAAGGGATATACTATTATCTTTATTATTCATATTTTATTTTTAAAAATTATATGTATATTCATTTAACTAATCCATATATGAATAAAAATTTCTTTATTATTTAATGAAAGTAAATGTATGGAAAAATCTGTATGGAAAAATCGAGAATAGCGTAAACAGTAAATCAAGGTACTATTTTTGATTTTAACATTTATTTTGAAGGATTCCGTAGTCTGAGATCACTGTCTACATTATTCTAATGATATAAGCACGGTGGAGACACAGAGTTTCGCAAGCCTAATTTATAATTACATACGATCTTATAAGATAAAGATTCCTACAAATAAAGCTTGTATATATCTAATTTTATTGGTATTATAGTTCAATTGACGAGAACACGGAATCCAGTGGTTAAAATGATTCAACTTCATAAAGATTTGTATAAAATCTGCGAATGGATACGATCGTTTTTTGTATCGAGACTCGAATTACAAGCAAACCGTTTGACAGTGGTAGTGATAACGAACGTATACAAAACGAACTAGAAAGAGGGGTAGATATAGAATGATATGTCTGTCAAAAACATCCACCCGGTTACTAACAGTGTCGAAATATTAGTAGTCCCAGAAATTTAGTGGGAAAAACGTGGTAAATATCCCATTTTACATCATAGAAATATTGTCAGTGACCATGAAAGTTAAAAGATTTATATTTTTTTTAAGAATATATTATTAATAACAATATCGTATAAAGCATTTGCCTTCTGAGCAGGTGATATATTCCTCACGGACTTACTGACATTTTATTTAAATTTTAATAAAGTAAAAAGTGACGATTCCAAAGTGCTTGTAAAAGTCTATTCGAATAAAATATATTTTGATTTGATTTTTGTCGTGTGTGGTAAGCTTTATAAACGTTAGTTTCTCGACAAGTAACCTAGTTCAGAACGTCTGTCTTACAGAATCCGCTGCAAAATTGTTTGAGTCAAGGGAAATGTAATATGTTTGTAGACGACGTTTGAGCAACCTTTAAGATAATTCGCACTGTTATAAATTTAAACTTGGATAACTCTATGAAAATAATCCTTTAAATAACTTAGGTCCACGGAGTTTTTATAGGTACCGCCATAAAATATAAACATGAAATCATTTGGTTTTAAATGTATTTTTTTTAAATTTGATCGATTTGGAGCATGCTGCAAGAGCTGCATTTATGTAAGTAGAAAATTAAAAATAATAGAAAAAAAAGAGTTGTGGAGATGGGATATTTATTCATTTAATTGAGTACGTTCAATGTACTAAAATTTAAAACTCAACTCAAATCTCGAACCTTACATTCTCATGTCCGAATTGCCATAATTACCATTTTAGTGAAGGAAAACATCGTGAGGAAACCAGCATATATCCGAGAGAATCTAGAAAGTTTTCGAAAGATGTGAAGTCCGCCAACGCGTCCTAGGATGGTGGATTATGGCCTGATCCTCCCTAATAGGAGGGAGACCCACTCCCAGCAGTGGGACGTTAAAAAGGGCTGAAAATTCATAAATTGAACAATCGATGGTTAGTGAAGCGTCATGTTTATTGAAGCCTAACCTAACCTAACCCAACCTTATGAACATGGGAAGCAAAATCTGAAAGTTTTCAGAAATCTATTAGGTAGAAAAATAATTAAAAAATGCTATCTAATACTTTTTTTTATTTAAAAAAATAAAAAATGCTATCATTTATAAGTAAAATATACTTACTTGAATGTTATGAATGACAATAATTAGAACAATGTTTACTTCCGTTTTTGTTAGAATTACATCATTGTCAGTATTTCTTTAAAAAAAGCTAACATGATAACGTCGAAGCCTTAAAAGAGAAAGCAATAAATCACAATAAGCAAATATATGTAAATTCCTTATTATTTGTTAAGGTAAAAATACATTTTGTTTAAAAAGGAGAACGGCAATGTTTTATAAGCGGATCAGAAGTCGACATATGGCAGACAGCACCTGCGGAAAACGTTTTGAAGAATATTTTCGAGCAGAAATTCGACCTGAATTTTTAGCACAAATATTTATGTACTTAAAGTAGATAATAATTAGTCATACTTATCACTTAATTTTTGTACTTAATGTTGAGAAATTTATAAATAAGTTTTATCTGTTCTTTTATATTTATAATAAAACTTTACAAAATTTATATTATAAATAGTATTATTAATAGTTTTATTTTCTCCACGAGATCTTTTGAAATATTTCTATTTTCTTTTGAGACATTTTCATAAATTCCAACATCTACTTGATATATTTTTCAATTTTTCCAAGCGAGTTTGAATCAAATCGGATAAGCCGGGTTTCTCAATAAAAGCTGCTACTTCAATAAATAAAACCGCCAGCTAACCGTGAAACATATTTGTGACCGGAAAATATAATATTTCATTCAATAGAATCAATAACTATAATGAAAAGTTATAAAATTATTTATTAAGGAAGCGAGAAAATATATATTAATATTTACAAAAAAAAATATTCTTAAGGCAACATTAAATTCAAAACGTTGTGTAATACAAATAAAAACAATACCTAGCTACCTGCCGTTAACGTATGGACTAATAAACACGTGCCCCTTCTATTTTCCATTTTTTTTATGTTCAACAATATGAAAAGTTTTTTATATTAGATTAAGGAGCCTTTAAATTCTAAATATACTCGTATACAGGTAAATTAGATATAAATCTAAATTTAAACACATAATCTGGCCTTTGACTAAATCGCCATTGGTTAAAATAATTAGTCAATAAAATTTAACATTTATATGTACCTTTTGACGTGGGTTATAATGCTCTTTAATATTTAAGTTATTGATCACCTAACATCTCACTTAGCACAGCTAAATGTTTTCGAAGTCGTCACTACCTACTATGAATTATGAATTAATGGCTGTGGATCGAGGTTTAGGCGTCACTTGGACAGGAATACTGAAACTGGAGAAGTCTTTGTAATAATTTTTTTAAGAATAATTTTGTTTAAAATATTTAGATACCTACTAGAAAATCCAGTAAAATATTTAAAACGAGATAACTCAAATCGCACCCCACTTTACTATCTCGTTTATCTATATTTTCTTTGCGTGGCATCTCTTATCGGAGCCCTTCATCGTAAGTAGAGCAAAATCAGATCGAACCCAAAAAGTTGTCCGCCCCGGAAAGAAACTGCGTTATTATATATAAAAATTGTAATGGGATCTACATTAAACATAAAAATGTTTTTTTTTTCATATAGTCAAAAAAACCAAACTCTTATAGGAGGTCATTGGGAGTTAGAAAAATAAATAAATACGAGTTGGATACAAGATAGAATAGATAAATATAACTGAGAGATTAAAAAAACGTGTATCCTGAAGGTGTAGTATATCTTTAAAATGAAAAGAGTTTTTTATAGACGAATTTTTCTTTCAATTTTATGACGATACTTGCCGAATAATATTTTTCTGAAGTATTTTAATTAGCGTAGTAGCTCCATAGGCAATTCTTTTTATGCCATAGGAAGAAGGTAGTATACAGAGGCTGTTTATTTTATTTGTGACATAAAACCAAATCCCTCATACGTTATACTACTAAATATAGCTTAAATTCAATATACGCCTATTATACTCTAACTAGAAGGCTCAGATTTACGTCCGATGTTAAGTGTTTTCGAAGTCGCTATTAATATGAAATATACGTATGTATAATATACGATGTGAAATCCGAACATGGCAAAAGATTAGAGACGTCTTTAATCTTACTATAAAATTAATTACCAAGATAAGATACCTAGTGATGTAATATGTCACTATGAACTATCACTAACACTGTCACTAATCAACAAACAAACACACTACTTGATTTACGAGTATAATATTAGTCAGGATAGTGGTTTATATTATAATTAGTGCCATAGTTCTTTCCTTAATATTTTTTTATAATGTTTTTATTAGCTATAATATAAAATTTGGTTATTTGAATTCTTTCGATATTAAAGTTTTCATCTTGTCAGAAGTGGTAAAAGAATTTATTGTATTCGACTCCACGTATTTCTATTGATAACGCGCATATTCGAGTAAGCTGAGGGGGGTAGGATATGATTGATATGATGTTTTGTTACGGGCGCTTTTATAACATCGTTCAGTCTCTTGAAGAGAATACTATTCAAAACAAGTTTATCAAGTAATATTATAAGTATTATTCCTAATATGGAAACAAATAAAAATGCAACCAAAGCTTATAACTCATATCAACAAACTGAGATAAGAAAGCGAAATATGTTTGAGAAAGTCAATGCGAAAGATATGAAAGGTAATATGAAACTATATAATTTCAAAATCGTTTATTTACACAATTATTATTATAATAAAATAACGAGAAAAAAATTATAAACAAAACTATTTTTGACGATTTTTAAAATTTTTAAAAAGGCTTTTTGAGCTGATTTTTTAAGAAGGCTCTTAAAACATAATAAACTAACATATTTTTTCATACAAGGCACGAAAAAAATGTCAGTTTTTAACTTGTAAAGATTTTAATATTGAATTATTTGCAGCTTATGATGTACAGGATATTTACGGCCCACAGATCACAGACAAAGACGGCGAGTTGCTGGATAAACATGACAGCTTTTATCTTAATACGAAGAGTTTGCTAGTACTGTTCCAGATTATGGGAGTTATGCCTATCATGAGAGTGCCCAAACGTTAGTAAAATAACATTAAAAGCACCTGGGCGACCGTGCTTCAAAATTGCGTTTTTTTTTTCAGAAAAGACACCTACTCGTATATACATAAAACCTTACCTATATATAAAATTTTATCCAAATCTATACAGCCGTTTCCGAGACACACAAAATTTTATGTACCTACAAGAATTTCTCATTCAATAGAGCAAGATACTAAATAGCTAGTTTATTAAAAATAGTAGTTTTTTTTTTGTATTTGTTAATCAAATCAAATTGGACGTAGTTATGCAAAATGGATCCAGCCCACAAAAACCGTTTTTGAGTGACTGTTATAAATAATACTACATATCAATATATATACAGAAAGTTAATAAAGTACCCAAAATTTCAAAGGAATTTATAAAAACTACTGTCTTGTTATTTTGTTAAACCAATTTTATAAAACTTCTATGTTCTCAAAAGTAAGTTTTTGTAGTTGGATCTATTTTGCATAACTATGTCCAATTGGGCACACAAAAATAAGTCTCATTTAACATTACTATAATATTATAAGAATATCACCACATTTTAAAAGTATTACGATATCTGTACTTTTAAATTAACAATAACTGTAAGTAATAAATTTGATTACTTTGCATATTATAATCTTCGCTTAGTTTATTATGACCATAAATGCTTGAATGCACTTTAATTAAAACTTGCAAGTTCACTGTTATTAGTGGGAAAACTTTGATATATAGTAGAAGCTTCAATGATTAATAAATGCAGATGCTGAATGCAAAAGCAACCCTGGTAGTTTCGATTCGATACCCTCATGAGTTAAATATAAATATTTTTTCTGCAACATATGTATGGGAGCTTACATAAGATGACGTTTTACATAACCGTCATAGGTAGCAGAAAACTAAACATTGTGTGTGTAATGGGGCATTACGTATGTCACTTGGTTAGAATATAAAGTTCCCATCGATCAACAGTAGTATTATTGATCGAAGAAAATTCCTATCATTTAGTCTTTTATTCTATCTATTATAAAATGCCTGTGGTAGTCAATGTGATTAAGTTTTAAGATTACATTTCTTTAACACCTCCAGGTAATTTCTAAGAAATTAATTAAAATTCTAAGAAATCTATTGTTAACTGACACGCCGCGCTGGTGTGTCTGCGGTCGTGAAGGGATTAAAACTCAACCGCATTCCATATTGCAATGTTTCGTTATCAGTATTTCAGAGGAAAATTAAATGATGCACCGCTAGCTTATTATTTAATAAATACTTTTAGATGCCCAAACCACAAAACGAACAACCTATAACTGGATATCAAAAGCAACATTATGGGCGTATTTGGTATGGAGTTTAGAAAGTATTATTGTTATAAGAGGTAAATATTTGATATAAGTAATAAACCAACCCATTAAGGTAAGATAACACTTAACTTTATCTCTATAAAACGATTTATAAATATGAAAATACTTGTATGATTTTAATAAAATTTCGCATATTAGATAAAAACATAGTGTCCAATAAACCACACACGATTTATTGAAGGTTAATAGAATGCATCCTGTAATTTTCAATGAGGTATATAGAGGCCTATGGACTCTCAAAAGCTTTATGTAAATTTAATTTAGTGGGCAAGGAGCGTTTAGGCAATTTCCAGCAAAATTCCAACAAGAGATTCGACGAAGTAATATATAATGTCATATTTTTGAGCATCCTTATTCCGCACTTCTTACTACCAATTGCTTCGTGGCGTCATGGGCCTGAAGTCGCTATATTTAAGAACATGTGGACACATTATCAGGTAATTTAACAACCTAATTACTCAGGTTCACATGACTAATTTTTATTTCAAAATTTTTTTTTCTTCTAAATAAACCTTTTCACACCATTGTAAGAGTGCAAGATCAGGAAGTTGGTGTGCTGCTGTGTCAGATAGAAAAAGATTTTTGATAAAACATTTTTTTTTATTAATTTCAAAATATTATATTCAATTTTAACTTTATATTTAATTTAATTTCAGCTAAAATATTTAAAAATTACGGGTACTCCCATTATATTTCCAAACCTCTATTCTCTAACATGGGGTCTATGCATATTTTCCTGGGCCCTTAGCTTCGCTGTGATTCTTTCGCAAAATTATCTTCAAGGTGACTTTGAGCTTTGGCATTCCTTCGCTTATTACCACATAATTGCTATGTTAGATGGTTTCTGCTCACTTTGGTAAGTTTTAGATTTATATATTTTATTTGCTTTTATTATTGTATTCTTTGTCTGTTATTATTTAATAAATACATCATTATACAAGTAATTTATGAGCTAAATAAACTACTAATAAACAGTTCATTCGTTCAGCCCTATTATTGTGCCACTGCTGGGTACGGCCCTCCCTTCAATGGGAAGAGAATCAGGCCTTAGTCCAACACGCTGGCCAAGTACGTATTGGGCTTGACATGGTTTTCAAAACTAGATAGATAGGTTTTCTCAGTTGTGCAGGTTTCCTCACGATGTTTTTAGGAGTAAAGCGAATGAATGATAAAACTGCTAAAAATATACCAAATCAATAATTATTATTTATTGTTCTTAATTAAAATTATTACTATTACTATATTTTTATAGCTACTATAATTATTATGATTAATACTTATTTGTCGCAGGTATATTAATTGCAATGCTTTTGGTACTGCATCAAAGGGCTTAGCGACCAATCTTCACAAGGCATTAGAGGCAGAACAACCAGCTTTAAAATTGGCGCAATTCCGCCACCTTTGGGTTGATCTTTCACATATGATGCAACAGCTTGGTATAAATATCATTAAGATTGTCTTCTCTAATATATATAATATTTACATATAGTATGTTCTCTTCAGTATTTTTCAAGACCAAAGGAAAATGTGATATAAATTTCACATGGATATTATATTCTTTAAACTTTCTTCGTACATTATAATTCAGCTATTAAAATCTGCAATTTTAAATATATGTCTTCTCGCCATAAATAATGAATTATTCATAATAAAGTAGTAACATTGTATTAAGATATAAATCAGCTACAAAGAAATATTCATTCAAAATTTATTTGTAACGCCGCTTACATACAAAGTCATTAAGAAATCGCGGTAGCGAAATTTAATCATGATAAAAAGTTATTATTATTAGAATGTAATATTAAACATTTTTAAATATATATTTTGATAGGACTGATGTTTTTAATAATAAACTCATTTCTTTTCAATATGACATTTTAATAATTTTAGTAGTTTGCGAAAGCATTTATTTTGTATTTAAAAGAGGAATATTAAACAGAGTTGCAAGACTTGCTTCTGCAATTTTATACGTCCTGTGATGTGCTTTCGAGCTGTAACAGAGCATACAAAGGACATGTTTAAGAATACATTTTGCGTTTATAAGTAAATAGTTAGGATATTTATACAAAAAATATGAATAGATAAAATTTTAACGTAAAAATCATATAATATAATAATAATCAAAACATATATTTATATTTCTAAAAAAGCTACCGAAGAGCCTTTATGTAGATAATTAAATTTAGGGTTTTGTTATCATTAAATGAATAATATGTAACATATATTTACATAAAATTGAAAAGAGAAGATTCTCGAAGTGAATAACAAATTAATTACAGGTAGGGCGTATTCAAACATGTACGGAATATATTGTATGGTGATTTTCTTCACGACAACGATCTCTTTATACGGGGCACTTTCTGAGATATTAGAACATGGTATTAGCTATAAAGAAATGGGACTATTCGTTATAGTGGGTTACTGTATGACCCTACTTTTCATCATTTGTAATGAAGCTTACCACGCTACGAGGAAGGTGAGGTTTAATATAATAGCTATCGATTTATGTGTCATTCACGTTGATTAACGTTTTCCTTCTACATTATAGCATTTTGCCTTAGTAATGGTGTTGACAAAGTTGGATTGCGTTCATTTTTGTGCAAAATAGGGAATTTTATAATATACTCGTACTATATTTTTAATCTTAATCGGTTAAATCGTTCTTAATCATTTAAAGATCTAATTATATAATGTAAATAAAAATATAAACTATGACTTAACTGCCTAAAGTTCGTTAACGAAATATGTATCATTTATTAGATGCTAGAGATCCTAATCCTAGACCTTGCCCTTCTATTATTCTCCCTTCGTAATTAACTATGAAATATTAAACAATAACATGGAATTTAATTTAAAATTAATTTCTCTTACCATTGTAACGTAAAATGCTAAGAATATGAGAAAATAATTCGCTCAAAGCATTCATTTTCCAACGTTGATTTTCCTCAACGTGTATTTTTACAGGTTGGACTTGAATTTCAAATGCGTCTGCTAAATGTGAATTTGGGATCCATAGATCGCAGTACTCAGCGCGAAGTGGAAATGTTTTTAGTAGCAATCGCTAAGAACCCGCCTATCATGAACCTTGATGGATTTACTAACATTAACAGAGAATTATTTACAGCTGTAAGTTTCAAACAATTTTATCTACTTATTCCTTAAATTATACATGGTAATATTATTCTACGTTACTTAAAGTTAATTAAAATTTGTTCTAAAAACTGATATTTTTACACACACAAAACTAAATTCCACTATAAGATACTAAATAATAAAAAACTGTGCATTTTAAGTTTATTCTGAAAAATAAAAGACAGTACTAACAGTTACAAAAATTCTACAGAATATATCCTACATGTCAACGTATTTAATAGTTCTGATGCAGTTTAAATTAACACTATTGAGGCAAGGAACAAGAATTATGAAAAAAATTGCAAGAGCCATTTTTAATACTACGACAACAATCGCCGATGAAGGCGAAGAATAAATGTCATTACTTTAGTTTTGGTGTTAGTAGTTGTACTGGAGTAATTACTAGATAAAACTTTTGCATAGTTGTAAAAAATATTTGCTTATTGGTCATTCTGCTTTTACCCGCTAATCTTTGGACAGTTAAACTGATAATGAGATTTTTATATCTGGATTGGGAATTCAGGAGTCGGTAACAAATGCTATTTTTCATCCAAAAAAAAAGGTTCCTATAGCATAGAAGATAAACTGTAACAAATATGAATTCGAATAGTGATTAGAATAAAAAGATCTGGAAAGTTAATATGTATCTGAATTATTTTTTAATTGAACACATGCACTAAGTGAACTTCATTGATTTTGACTGGAGGCCAGTCGATTGGAAGGAAAGTAATATAGGGTACGATTTGTTGACCTTTAGCGCGGGATAAAGGTAATACAATATATAAAATCACTTTGGCGTTGGAATGAGTTACATCATTTTCCCTTTAAGTCGCTTTTTACCGAGTAGACACCAAAAAAATATAAGTATTAGTACTTATGAGCATCTTTTTTTACAAAATTTTACTTTACTTTAGTCAAACAAAAAAAACCATTGCGATTCCGTTAGACTAACTTACACCTAGTTGAATGGAATTGTTTAGTAATATAATGATTTTTCTTAGTATTTCAAAACTAAGAATATATGCACCTATGTATTTATGTTAAAATTTATGATAAATAAAATATCACAACAAAGCAGTCTTATTATTAAAAAAATATTTTTTTTTTTCTTCTTAACCCCCGACACAAAGACGGGTGTTATAAGTTTAACGTGGGAGGTGTTATAAATGTATCTGTGTGTCTGTCTGTGGCATTATAGCGCCCAAACGGCTGAACTAATCTTAATTTAGTTTTTTTTGTTTGAAATTAATTTAAAAGGTATTTTATCGACAGTGTTCTCTATAAAACAACGGAAACCAGTTTAGCCGTTTAGCTAGTAGCCTGCTATCAGCTCCTTTCTATACGGTAAAAGGACATGAACAACTTCCACAGATATAATGCATTCGAAACTCAGCATCCCGTTATTTTAATGACATTGCAACGCCATAGTAATCTTGGCCTGATGCCGCAGCGTCAACTGGAATCTGCAAGATACTTAACTCCTCACTACAATACTGCAGAAGTATCGTCTTTACGCTCATTGAAATGGCCTCAATGAATAGTTTAGTGTGTTGAGCTTTTTTTATGTTAATTTTAATTTCTTTTGTACATCTTGTATTATTCTTGAATTTTAATTTAAACTTACTTCCACAATTCTGACATTTTACTATACCTACTTATTCTGCTCTTGTTGAAGTTTTACTTTCGTCTGCGCAATAAACAAGTCGTAAACAGTACGTGGCTTAAGAGATTCGTATTGATCCCATAAGGAGCATTCCACATTAATGCTGCGTCAGATCGAATCATCACTTATCAAACAAATATCACTTAGTGGGTCAATTCACTAATAGCATTCGTATTCAATGGAAGTCTATGAAATAATAGATTAGGCTAATTGAAAAGCAACATTACTTTTAATATATTGTTAAGTTTGGTAATAATATTATATATCTATACAGTTTTGACATAAAGAATAATAAATTGTTTTTCATTCAGCCCTTTCTAACGTCCCACTGTTGGGTCTCCCTCGTATTGAAGATTGCTAGTGGGAACAGGCCATAACTCTGGCCGAGTGCGGGTTGGTTTTCACAATACATACATATTCGTCCGTAAATTTCTGATACCTCATAACTAGCATTTCTGCACAAAACTTTATTTTAATGCCATTGTTTAGCAAAAGCAACATAATACTAACTGTATTTAATTATGGTATCATAAAAAGACGTAAATACCAACCAACTACTTATTTGTTTTTTTTTTAAATCTCCACTTAAATGTTTTTTTTTAAATCTCCACTTAAATTAATATATTATTTTTATGTTCCTCTTGTAAAATTTGTTTGTAGATAGAAGTAGATAGAAGATTTCAGAAGATCACGGACGATATATATCTTTCGAAAACTAGTTAGGTGCTCTCAGACATGCGGGTTTCCTTACGATGTTTTCCTTCACCATTAGGCAAGTGGTAATCACGTTAGAAATGTTTCGCACATGAAAATATCCGAGGTTCCATCCCAATATACATATTTTTCCTAACCTCACCTTGTTCTATACTGGCATGTGAAATCGTCTCTATTATTTGTCTTTTTTATCTCGTATTTTGGAAAATGTTGTTTTTGGATGAATTAGGTGCTAAATGAAGTAAGTACAGGCACTCGCAGGTGCTACTACTCAGGTACGTCGTAGTATTATAAAATACCCCATATTATATCATAGCAATATTATACCACACAATAATCGTTCATCACTTTAAATAACAAATCAGAATGAATTTATAGGTTAGTTTTGTTGCCGTAATGCGTGTTGAGAAGATTAAAATGAATTCATTGCAATTTCGCATGTACATAAAATTTTAGAGTGGCAACCGTTAAGAACAACTTTTATTTTTCTTCCTATATTCGCAACAGTAACTCAACATAAAATTCTTAAAATGTAAGGTAAATTCCAGTTGTAGATATATCATCTTAAGCGATTTCCACTGTGATCAATTTCACAAGAAGAATAATTTATAATCCGAATGAAGAGTATTTTAAAGACAAGTTGCCTAGCGAAACATTATCAAGGTATCCATTTACTAAAAAAAATTTTTCTATGCTTCATCTACGTGTTAGTAATTAGCTGGTCTAATGAAAAATCATTTTATATCGTACCAAATAAAATGCGCAATGACACTGTCGCTCAGATGAGGCAAGATTAGATATAAAATATTAGAATAAGTCATATTTGATGCATAAACTCAGGTAAATGACCTGATCCATTCCATTTATCTTTTTAATTGAATCGTACAGAAATTAAAGCGAATGATGAGTGGCTATACGTGCTTTCTTCGTTATATCACTAACTTCTCAATTCAAAGCTAGTAATGAGAACAAGAAGCAAAAATAATGACTCTTTTAAACTGTAGCATCTGCAACCATACAAACTACCCTCTGAGTCTAGACCAACGAGTGGCAGATGTGGCCTTAGGCATAGGCCTATACGAGTTTATACATATACCTATAACATACTCCAAATCGTTTAAAGGAGTGAGTGATTAAAGTTTAAACTATATATAAATAGGCAAAATCAAAACAAAGCGTCTATTAATCCAGTTACTGTACGACTAATGTTTAAGCAATTATTTGTCTAGCTAGTTTATTTTGCTTTTTTTATTTTATTTTAGAGCATTTGGACCTAAACCCAGAACCCCCTATTATAAAACGATAACTTTATTTTATTTAATATGCTGATGTCAGCGTAAAGATAACTTATATTTTTAAAAATGAGATAACATTATTATTACATGCTGGGTGGGATACGTTCCATAACGAATCTCATGGGATACGGGAGAGTAAAAACAAATACGCGAGAAGCCGTAGGCAGAACAATTAATGAAAAATAAATGCGGATATCGTAACAATACGCACTCCATATGTTAATACTCTTTTCATAATTCGACGATATTTAAAACGTTAATCTCTTAAAGACCTTAAATGAGGGCGAGCTGATTGGATGTGCTTTAAATTTTAATGTCACCAATATTTGATGTGATAGTAGTTAAACGCTGTCACGTATATGTTCAATTTCTTTTTTTTTTTTATTGATGCCAGAATAATATTGTTTTCTATATGTATAAACTTTAATAAAGTTTTTCATCTTAGCCTTTAGGACTTGAAATTTTAATGCTACTTCTGTCGTTATAGAAATAGGTTGTCACCATTTATTTTGGCCTACCTTACCCTTTTTGGCTTCTTAAAAGTTCGGAGTTAGGATGTTGGTTTTTTTGACATATTTCAATTACCTACCTAAGAGAGGAAATATTTTTTTATTATAATTATTATTTATTATAAGAAGCATGGGAAAATAACCTGTAAGTAATAAAAGTGCAATTAATATTATGTTTATCCTAAAAGATAATTTTAATGTTTACTGTTATAACTTTCTATATACCTAAATATTATAATAAAATTGTAACAGATCGGTGTCTATATATGGAAGATATTTGAGAGAAACTATTATTGGAGGTGTTTATTAATGCAATAAAACCAAAAACAATCATTTTTAGAATATTTGTCTGTTTGTCTGTTTGTTTGTGCGCGCTAATCACAGAAACGGCTTAACCGATTTGGGTGCGGTGTTCACTAATTTATTGTGGTAAGCTTCACTTAGCATTTAATATTGTTTTATTTCAATCGATGCATTAATACAAAAGTTATGTCAATTTAAAGATTAACCTAGGGACGAACAAGAGCAAAGCGAGGCTGACTCGCTAATTAAGTAATAAATATCTGCATAATTTATGTACATATAATAAATTACCCATAATACTCGTATATTTTGTGTTCATCGTAACGTTAAAGTGATCTACACTATTGATTTCAAATTTACAAATCGTCTCACTAAAGGTTGTCTGTCACAGATTGCTCTTAGCAATAAAACCGCCTTTGAATGCCTTCTGTGACTATTTATGATATAGATATTTGCATTATTGTTCTGTATGAGCAATAAAGCTTTTATTTATATTATATCGAGGTATTTGATAGATTCTATTCGCTATTATTTAATCAAGGAATTATCGATAAAGATTATATTGGTGCTAATAAGTTTGAAAAGAAATACGTAAAAAAGCCAAAATAGCTAAAAATAAATAATAGTTTGTTAATGTAGAATTAGAAAATCAGCGAAAAAGTATCGCTTTGTTCTTAATAATTAATTAATCAGGACATATCATTGTGAAGACTGTGGTTTAGATAACTAAAATTGCCTACTCATGGAAGGTTTCCATATTGGGATGTTTTTATTTACGGGTCGAATGTTTATTGCGGTGGTCTTATAGATATTTGTCTCGGCCAGATTAAGATAAAGCGTGGGCCTGGAAACTACTACTCAACACGCA